TCAATCTCCGAGGCGCTGGAGACGCTGAGGTGGCGGTTGAAGACGTCGATGAGGTACGTCTGCGCCGACGTGGGGTCAAAGCCGGGCCAGAAGAGGTCGTTGGCGAGACCCGGACCGACAATATCGAGAAACCAGAGACTCGCACCCATCGAAGCGCCGAGATACGTCAGTCCAAGCCAGCGCTTGGTGGATGTAGTGATCGGGATCCACGTCATTTGACTTCGTGTGGGCTGGCGGACTTTTGAAGCTTTGTAACGGACAGCAGAAAACCCTTGCCAAAAGCTGCTGCTCCAGTATCGCCAAGTTTCGACCTGTAGCGATCTCATTGGACGGTGGAATCTGCAAGTCTCTCGATTCATACTAGATTAGCTCCTAGGATATACGTAGAATGCATCCAACACTCATCGCAGCTGTCCCACGTGCCGCTTGCTTGCCTCGCTAGCAAGGGCGACCAACCGACTTGTAACCGGTAACCGCCTTTTTTTCAGGCGCTCCCGAGTATGGGTGCGGCTGCTACGGTCGCCCGCAAGTACCGCGTGCGGCAGCGCACGGCCCAAGGCTGGCACCTCGCTCTCGACAAGTACCACGCGCTACTCCAAGAAGCGGACCGTCGCGGCTTCAACAAGGCCGAGCTCGACGCGCTGCTCTTAACACTGCGCCAGCGCCATCTACAGCTCCTCGCTCGCGTCCACAGCGTCACGGACCCCGCGATCGCAGCCATGCAACCATACTATGAAAAATACGCCCCCATCATTGAGCGCCATGCCAAGAAGACGTACAAGCGGGCCAAAGTCGTCGTCGACCACGTCGAGTACGTCATCACAACGACGACTCTTCAGGCCATCTACCAAGCGCGGCGACAGGTCGTGTCGCAGCTTTCGGACGCGACAATTGCATCGTACTTTGACGTTCCGCTCCACGAGTATCAGAGACTCTCGCTACATCCAGTGGACTCCAACGGCAATGTAGGATCGTGTCGCTGCACGTGTCCAAGCGGCGCTTCTCGATTGCGAATGCCGGCTGCGATTTTCGCGACCATGAGATTGAACACACATTTTTGATCAACGACGATGCGGTACATTGCAACTCAACGGACAATATTGTCCACTTTGCACTTTCTTGTTTATAGTTTATCCGGAAACTCCTCACGCTGCAGTGGGTGCCGTGGCAGCCGATCCCGAGCGTGGCCATGAAGCTCGTCGAGACGTACCTTGTGGCCATTTCGTTTGCGTCCCGAAACGAGTTTGCGATCAAGGTCCCTGCCCGCATTGTGCTTCGCATTGGGCCCAAATGGATCGGCGAAGACGTGCGACAGCATGCTGCCACGAGCTTTGCGCACCCGCGTTGGCTCCAGCGCATCGATTTCCAGGAGCGTGAAGGCCGCAGCACGCTCTTCTACGACCTGCTTCGACACGCGTACGACCTCATGTACACGGAGCACAAGCGCAACGAAGCGATCGCGCTGGCGGCGGCCGAAGCCGCCGCCCGCGCCAAGGCCGCCGAGGAGACACAAACGCGCGCCCCACCAATGACGGTCTTGACGCCCGAGATGATTCGTCGAACGCTCCAGACGTGCGCCGACCGCATTTTGGACGAAGACAAATTCCAGTTTTACACGCTGGCGAGCTACGAGAACTGGCGCATGGAGCTCCAGGACACGCGACTTTGTGGCCAAACGATGGAAGAACTTTGCGAAGAAGAAGCCATGATGCGCCAAGACGACCTCCTCCGACTGTACGCGGCGCGGGTGCTCGAAGGGGCCGAGCGTGTGCAAATGGAAAGCGAAGATGTCAACCGTGCACTCTCGCGCGAAGAGCTGGCGGCGACTGCGATGGCTGCCAACGACGTCGACGTCGAGAGCGACTGGGAGAACGACGGCTCGGACGACGGCTTGTAGCGAAATATCAAGCCAGGGGAATCGATCGTGGCACGACCTCCAATCTGTTCAACCAGGCATGTAGTAAACACTAGTTGCTACCCCTCTGAACGAAACATAGTGTCGACCAGATCTCGCGTGTACACATTGTAGTGGGCCGTGATCAAACGCGACGACCTTTCCTACCGGTCTTGCGACCAGAATGCAAAATTATTTCAAAATTGCACAATTCACTATTGAGTTAAAGTCCGCGACGGCGAGTTGTAACCATGACGTTGTACATGTCATAAGCTGTCATTCTAGTCGAGCACAAGTTGGACGGTCGGCAGGTGCTGCCGCCAGAGCCTGTGCACGACTTGGCTATCGACACGGTGGCATTCGAGGAGCCGGACGCATGTGAGGTGCGCGCCTTTAAGCAGCGACTGGCGCTGGCGCATAAACGCTAGCACCTTGTCGGTCGTGAGCCACGGACACCCAAGGACAGACAGAGTTTGCAGCGACATGGGCAGCAAGAGCAACAAGTTCGCGTCGATCGCATCAAACTCCGAGTTGCCGACGAGCGCAAAGTGCTCGAGCGCGGGAAACGCCCTGTCCACGAAGCATCAGACATAATTGTACACAAATAGGGCCTACTCGAAGACGGCGCCCGTGAGTGACCGGCACTGTACGAGCTCGAGCGATCGAAGCCGCGGACAGCCGTGCCACGTCACCGAGATCTCGGTCGCGTCTTCCCATGACGCGTCGTCGTCGACTGCCATGTCACTACGTGGCGATAGCAGCGGCAACACCGCTTGCAACGAGAGCGATCCAACGCAGAGCGACTCGATCGTTGGTGTCCCGAGAAGCGTCACTTGCGCAGCGTGCGTCCAGCGCTTGTACCATGTGGCGAGGACTGAGAGCCGCGCGAGCTGCGACGGCGGCAGCATGCCCAGCGCTGCGCGCGTATCGTCGCAAGCTTCGTCGAGGCAGTCGAATTGGTCGGCGATCGCATGGAGACAGCTAACGCAAGGTATTGCAGACGGGGGCGCCCGCAGCATCAAACATACATGTCAGCGAGAGACGGCTGGGCTTGGTGGATCACATGGGTCTTGGCGAACACGAGCGCGACGTCCGGCGTGCGGTCCATTGCCAATCTGGTTATCGCTGCGACGGGCTCGGGCGTGGCGACGACAGAGCGGGGACGAAGGCGGAGTGGCACGCGAACACTCTCCTGGAAGGACGCCGCCGTCGCCTCGCACCGTAGCTCCGCCACAGTCGCCGCTACCTCGGCGCGCAGCGCCAGGCTGGATTGATAGCTACAGGCACAGCGTTGCCGTTCAGCATCGCTCAAGTAGTCTATACCTGGCGAGCTTGGAGGCGCCGGTTTGCCGTCGGCGCCGGGCCCGGACCATGGCGTCTGGCTTGCGTCTGATTGGTGCAAATACATTGCAGAATCATCCAATCCGTGCTCGTTATCTGGCATACCGGCAACCCACTCATGCTGCCCACTCATGCTGCGGTCGAGCAGTGTCGTCGCAAAACCTTGTCGTGGCTGCAATGAAGCAAAAACACTTCAAGTCCGAGCATAGCTCAGTTGGTAGAGCGTTTGACTGTAGTTGGGTACGGAAAACACTTCTCTGAGGCTTGTACCAACTAGCCATGAAGGCAAGATATACACGAAACCTTGTCGCGGTGTCGAGCAGAGACTTCACAGCGGTGTCAAGTGTAACGAGCTCAAGAAAGGCGCCAAAAAGTGAAATTTCATTGTACGAAACCGACAGTGCGTTCGACTGTTGAAGCGTCTCTGGATAATTACTCTAGATGGGTTGTCGCGACATCGCAGCATCCACCAAGCGCTGGCTCGGCCTCTCTTACCTCGGCGCTTCGATGGGGGCGAGTCTCTGGTTTCTCGATATTGTCGGTCCGGGTCTCGCCAACGACCTCTTCTGGCCCGCCTTTGACCCCACGTCGGCGCAGACGTACCTCATCGACGTCTTCAACCGCCACCTCAGCGTCTCCAGCACCTCGGAGATTGATCTCTTTGACCCCAGCGAGACCATTCTCAAGACGTACGGCCTTCCGTCGACAACTGCGTTCACGAAACCCACGTACCCTCGGATGCGAACCCTGGTCGAGTACACGTCGGTGGCCGATGCGATCATTGGCTTTCAGTCGGTCGATCCGGGCTACGTCTTCAACTTGATGACGCTGTACTGCTGGGCGGACTTTGAGAAGCGCTGGGAGGTCGCTCATACGGCGGCGCGTCAAGCGCGATGTGCCGCTACGATGGCTGACAATGGGGCCGTGTACCTCGAGCCGTTCCTTCGCAACATCGAGTGGGATGCATGGGATGCCGTCTATGGTGCCAGCTTTGCCCAAGCGGTCGCAGACGCGATTACAATCACACCAGAAGGTCGTGACTGGTACAAGAGTCTCCAGAACGCATACCAGTCTCTTGAAATCGAGGAAGCGTACTGGAATTCGCACCAGATTTCATACTTTCAGCTGCAGTGGAGCAACGACTACCAGTTTGGCGTGCAAGAGTCGATCTCAATTGTCAACATGCTCGGGTGGCGCCAAGACCTCACCATTCAGTCGATCGCGTTCAC